CACACTTTATAAACTTGGCTTGCCGTTTTGGGCGAAAGACTACCTCAGCTGAGGTTGCCCACTGTGACTGCAGCTCTGTTGCCACTCTCGTATATAAGCTTAAAACTAAATACAACCTGAGAGAAAATTTCAAATTTGAGTTCGTTCCGTGCTTCGACGGAAGTATAAAGATTTGCTGTCTAGCTGTATATACAGAAGCTGGCTTGGTTTGATCTAATATCTGTGTACTTAGATCGGGTCGGCTGAATATGAGGTATCGCCCTGGAAGAGTGGGTTGGGTTTAATGCCGCTTTTAACACTATTCCAGTAATATCACGGCGTGTCAGCTTAATGTGGGAGGAAAGCCCGAAGTGATGCAGGTCTCAGACGTTTACCACTTCGGTGAAACCCACGAGCACGGGTATGGTACTGACAAACCTAGAAACATAATCGGGGCGAACCGGGATTCAAACCCACAATCATAGGTTTCTGGCGTGCCCAAGGGACGCAACTCTGCACAGCGAATCGCGGCGCCTGTGACGACAGGGCCACCCGTGCCCCCTCCCTTCTCGCGGCGCTCCCGGAGAAAGGCCTCAAACATGGTTCACGGACACGTGATTTGGCGCTCCTGTTAGCAGGCAAATATAACTAGAACAAAGGAGTACCGCTCATCAATTTCATAACCATAGTTAATGTTCAAATAACGCAAGTCAAGTTAAAATGTTTAAAATGCCAATATATACATTTGATAAGATTGTTCAGTCCAGGTGAAGTCGTTCCAACAGATCGTCGGTGTAGTCAGACAGATGGTGGTTGACGAGGTCGTCATTCAGTGGTCTAGGCGAGCGTCGGTCTCGACGTGGCATCGCTTAAGGGGATGTCAGAAGGATGGTCCAATCTCAAGATGCTTACTCCTGAGTGGGATTGCTCTCTGTGATGTCAACCAAGTCAGCGTGCCTGACCACCCGATGCCGTTAGTCGTCTCTTACGACAAGCATAGTCGCTTTTTACGGCAAGCATGGGTTGCTGAAGACCTATTCTACCCCGGATCTTCACAGGGACAAGCATGGGTTGCTGAAGACCTATTCTACCCCGGATCTTCACAGGGACAAGCATGGGTTGCTGAAGACCTATTCTACCCCGGATCTTCACGGGTCTCTGAAATATGTAGCCACATTTGATCGTACATAGATTAAGTACAGTGCGACGAAATGTTTATTTGCCAGCTTCATGTAAACTATGAGCGAACAAAATACTGTCTTACATCCGAACAACATCTTGACAGATATATTAGAATTGTACGATTATATATAACGTGACACATTCGATACGAAAACGTACTTGTTTTATGTGGCGAAAAGAAAGTTTGCGCTATGACGTCAAAACACGAGAGGGAGGTCTACATGTGCAAAGACAAAAAGGGGCATAGCTCCGCAATGCTTAACTATAAGCCATTGCAACTCAGTATCCGACATGTCCTTGGTGAGCATCTGCTATAGCTTAGGACAATACATTCTAGTATAATTTTGTTTATGTGTATCTACAAAGTTCCCACATAGCTATCGATCTTGACAACCACACCGGTTCCTTTTCTGGGACATTGACTGATTGTCATAAAGGCCCGTCGTCAAGCAATATGAGGGCATTATCAAGTTACAGTGGTCCGCTCATTTCTGATAACATGCGGGCGGTTTAGTGATAATTCTATCAATTTCAGCTATAAATAATACATTTTCCACAATCGTATAATATTTGTCCAAGGGATCCACTCTCCTACCCAGAGTTTCATGCGACCAGGGGCGGTCGGGTAGCCTAGTGGTTAAAGCGTTGGCTCGTCACGCCGAAGACCCGGGTTCGATTCCCGACATGGGTACAATGTGTGAAGCCCATTTCTGGTGTCCCCCGCCGTGATATTGCTGGAATATTGCTAAAAGCGGCGTAAAACCATACTCACTCACTCACTCCATGCGACCAGCATAGTACCTCTGCCACAGACCAGCACCATGGGACGATTCGTCACATCTTACACAGTCCATTGCATATGTTTTCATCTGTTTCATTTTTGACAAGTTTACATATCTAGATAAACATATGTCATGGTTTACTTTCACTGAGAAAATATCCTAAATCGTGAAAAAAAATCCGTTTGCGTAGTTATCCTATATTTACATTGATTGTACGGCTACACGTGCTGTCATCGTTGATGTGTAAACATGTATTGTCATGCAACTCACTGTAGCAGTTGTAATTATGCTAAACAATATGTAAAGCGCCCCCAAATACTTGCATTAGTCCGTTCTAATTTCTGAAAAAGCGCGTTTGTTTACAAACAAGAGAAAGGTCCGGTCAAGTGATATGCAAATTAGCCTGTGGCAGTGGTGTTTTGCTAAGCCACCAACTGCGCCGGAGCGTGCCTGGGATCCTATCTCTCTGGGATCACGAGGGGGAAATAGTATCTATGTGGAGAATCGAACCCGGGCCTTTGGCGTGAAGAGCCAAATTGAATGATTTGGCAATAGGCAATACCTGATCAGGACGAAGAAACCCGAAACCGCAATACACCCCATGCAATAATGAATTAAGTAAAATTAGACAACTATTACCGAAATCTTAATAGAAAAAGGTTTGAGACACGCCGCTGCATACAAACCAAATTTGAAACCCTCACATTACGCTCACAGTTGAACTAAACTATTTTGCAAGTGTTCAAAACATCAAAATATGTGATAAAGCAAATTTACTATTATGCTTAGAAATGGGAAATCTCACCTGAAATTTTGACTTGTATTACGGAAGTGATTACTGTTAAATATAGCAGCAGACTGAAACATACAGCTGTAACCAAGTACACATCGCCCAGGGTCCCGTTCTTCAAGTAGGGGAGTTACAGCGGACGTCGTCTATAAATATTAGTCTCTTTCAAATCTGGCACGCAGCTCTACGGAAGCGTAGTAGGGCCACGGAGATTTTTTTTGTCTAAGTATCTCCTACATAGGACTTATTATCTCCTACGTAGGACTTAGTATCTTCTACGTAGGACTTAATATCTCCTACGTAGGACTTCCTATCTACTACGTAGGAGATACTAAGTCCTACGTTGGAGATAGTTATTCTAGTCCATATTAAGTCCTACGTAGGAGATAGTAAGTCCTACGTAGGAGATACTAAGTCCTACGTAGGAGATAATAAGTCCTATGTAGGAGATACTAAGTCCTACGTAGGAAATAGTTATTCTAGTCCATATTAAGTCCTGCGTAGGAGATAGTAAGTCCTACGTAGAAGATACTAAATCCTACGTAGGAGATAGTTATTCTAGTCCATATTAAGTCCTACGTAGGAGATAGTAAGTCCTATGTAGGAGATACTAAGTCCTACGTAGAAGATACTAAGTCCTACGTAGGAGATAGTTATTCTAGTCCATATTAAGTCCTACGTAGGAGAAAGTAAGTCCTACGTAGGAGATACTAAGTCCTACGTAGGAGATAATAAGTCCTATGTAGGAGATACTAAGTCCTACGTAGGAGATAGTAAGTCCTACGTAGAAGATACTAAGTCCTACGTAGGAGATAGTTATTCTAGTCCATATTAAATCCTACGTAGGAGATAGTAAGTCCTATGTAGGAGATACTAAGTCCTACGTAGGAGATAGTTATTCTAGTCCATATTAAGTCCTACGTAGGAGATAGTAAGTCCTATGTAGGAGATACTAAGTCCTACGTAGAAGATACTAAGTCCTACGTAGGAGATAGTTATTCTAGTCCATATTAAGTCCTACGTAGGAGAAAGTAAGTCCTACGTAGGAGATACTAAGTCCTACGTAGGAGATAATAAGTCCTATGTAGGAGATACTAAGTCCTACGTAGGAGATAGTAAGTCCTACGTAGAAGATACTAAGTCCTACGTAGGAGATAGTTATTCTAGTCCATATTAAATCCTACGTAGGAGATAGTAAGTCCTATGTAGGAGATACTAAGTCCTACGTAGGAGATAGTTATTCTAGTCCATATGAAGTCCTACGTAAGAGATAGTTAGTCCTATGTAGGAGATACTAAGTCCTACGTAGGAGATAGTTATTCTAGTCCATATTAAGTCCTACGTAGGAGATAGTAAGTCCTATGTAGGAGATAGTAAGTCCTACGTAAAAGATACTAAGTCCTACGTAGGAGATAGTTATTCTAGTCCATATTAAGTCCTACGTAAGAGATAGTAAGTCCTACATCGGAGATAGTAAGTCCTACATGGTGGATAGTAAGTCCTACGTAGGGGATAATAAGTCCTACGTAGGAGATACTCCGACAAAAAAAATTCACCGTGGCCCTACTACGCTTCCGTACAGCACTCACCGTAACAGCTAGATGTTATCTCGACCCACACTGCGAACCCTTTTTTCGTAGGTATAATAACGTTTGGAACGGAGAAGTACGGAAGTTCTTAAGGGTCATTAGCACTTTTATTTTTTTCTTATAATTTCAAGATGCTATGTTGAAATATCAAGATGCATATGATGAAATGTAAGAATAATGAGCTACCTCGGAATACATATATATATATATAGTGTGTATGTTTTGTTAGTTGTGAACAAAGTAAAAACAATCTTGAAATCTAAAAATATCCCTGAAATGTTTCCGTTACAGGAGTCTCAGAAGAAGATTAGACACTTTATCGATTTTGTCGATTTTGTCGATCGCCTGTGTCGTGAAGGGTGTAATTATCAGATATGACCTAACGGTGGAGTCTACTATCGCCTACAGTGCACTTTTCCTACACTCACTTTGCCTACAGAAATTGTAGCAATTTGTGGTAGTTTGCCTTCACTAATAAAAATACATCCCTAACTGACAAACGGATTAGTCCACTCACTATCTCGTTACAGGTTAAAACTTTCAAACAAAGATACTGCAACAACATATCAAGATAAAACTTGTAACTCTCTGATCTTGTTATGTTGTTACAATGTATTTACCTGATTATCTCTCATGAGAAGAGAGAAGTCAGCATATAATTAACAACAAAGTATAATATCAGTAACAACATTTAATCAAGTATGAAGGCCCAGTCATACAATTTGGAACCACGGTGACAACACAGGTCCAAGGACAAACAAACATCTAGAAGGATGGCACAGTCACCTCAAGAAGACGGTCAAGCGTGTCCATCCAAACATCTTCGACTTGATCCGAGTGTTGCAGCAACTGGAGAAGACCGAGAGAAACAAACTGGTACAGTTCCAGCATGGTGCGCACCCCAGGGGACGCACTGTAGGCGATAGTAGACCTAACCGACCTAACATTCCCGTGACCGGTCGTTATCCAAACAACGATCATAATGTCATGTTTAAACACACAACAACGCAAAGGGTATTAACTGTTTTTCGAAAATACGGAAGTTGAACGGAATAACTCGAATGGGACACAAACCAATTGGCGTTGAACTTCTAAAAATATGCTGCAAATTATGGCTTTCTGTCTCATGTTAAAAAGTCGGTTTTGTTTCCAATGATCAAGCGAGACAGTTAACACATGATTTGTAAAGAACATTTGTTCTGTTTGGTTAGAAGTTACTTAGATCATCCTGATGTTAAGACAAGAGTTATACTGATGTATACCACAGTTGCTCGAAGCGGGGAGGACTATTTACAGGCTAACATCAAATTGCTGGAATATTGCTGATCACAGCTTTCAAAAACTAAACGAAACGATTATGTGTGCATGTAGTGTGAAACATATCAATGTGCATATCATATTTTCAAATGTGAAGATTGTGCATCCAAAAAGGTAAATTACAAATTATCATTCCTACACTGAATAAGCATGAAAGGAAGTTACCGATTTTGGTGGTATTGGGATTTTTGTTTTTAGAAGAATCATTTTTTTTATTCAACGCTTCTCTAAAATAAGGAGGCAAGCAGTTTCTGGAAAAAACCACCAACATTATTTTTCAGAGCATTCAGCATGTCAAGAGTGCGATTTATCTTATTTCTTCAAATAAATACACTTTGTCCAGCATCATCAGCAACAAAAATGTTTTAAACAAAAAAAACGACCAGAAATTAAAAGGCATCTGACTGTTGAGTATTCATCCCCAATCGCATCTTTCCGTAACCTTCAAGAAGGTCCAATAGTCTTGTCCCCGGACGGCATCAGACTTTCCGTAACCTTCAAGAAGGTCCAATAGTCTTGTCCCCGGACGGCATCAGACTTTCCGTAACCTTCAAGAAGGTCCAATAGTCTTGTCCCCGGACGGCATCAGACTTTCCGTAACCTTCAAGAAGGTCCAATAGTCTTGTCCCCGGACGGCATCAGACTTTCCGTAACCTTCAAGAAGGTCCAATAGTCTTGTCCCCGGACGGCATCAGACTTTCCGTAACCTTCAAGAAGGTCCAATAGTCTTGTCCCCGGACGGCATCAGACTTTCCGTAACCTTCAAGAAGGTCCAATAGTCTTGTCCCCGGACGGCACGAGTTGGTCATGAATGTCTATGGTGCACACAGTATTAACAGCACGGTCGTATTCTCATCTCTGTGTTTTTCAGAGAGTAGTAATAGCCATGCCAGGTGTTCCAGTTGATGCCCTGTGCGAACTTTGTGTTGTTGTATTCCCCGTTCAGGTTTGCTTCGTGACATGCGCAGTACCACCAGCCACCTTTGTATGATTGGGCGCAGCTGAAGGATTGGGTGTCGAGGTCGCGGTCTCGGGCGGAGAAGGCGCAGCCGCCGTGACCTATCATTGAGTCACCTGTTTTTGTGAATAAAAGAAGAAACGTTTGACAACAACGCTACCAGATCTGCCAAAACATACCCTTATAAAAGCTAAAAGATTAGTATCATAAGGACAATACTTAATAAGTACATAAAGACGTAACTATGACTTATGACTTAAAATTTGGATACATTGTATGAAGCCCAAAGTGATGCGGGGCGTAGAATTCTATCAGTTTGGTGCCCCTCGGGTCCGCGGAGAATGTGTCCCCAGCATCTCATTTCTGGTCGAAGGAGGCGAGTGAATTGGGAGCCTGGGATGAATCACGATCAGAACTGGTCCTGATGCTGGCTACTTGACCGGGTTGTCAGGTTCGGTGACTTGGTAATGACGTATCAGCGTGATCAGTCGGCTTGGATCATTGCTCATTGTTTGGTCAGCATCTCATGTATTTATCAACATATTTTATCTCCTTTGTGGTGGCAGTTGAAGGTTTTCCTGATCTTGGATCATAGTCTCTCTCTCTCTCTCTCTCTCTCTCTCTCTCTCTCTCTCTCTCTCTCTCTCTCTCCCCTCTATCTCTCTCCCCCCCTCTCTCTCCCTCCCCCCCCCTCTCTCTCTCTCTCTCTCTCTCTCTCTCTCTCTCAATGCGGCGAGTAACTTACCTGCGCTGCCAGTGAAGCCAGAGATGTGTAGAACATAGTTGTCAGCCAGACTACCAATGGAGAACTCTCTGTAGTCAGCCCTTTTGGGTTCACCTTGAAAGTCCCGGAGCTTTATTCTTAACTGGTACTGCCGTCCGTGCATAATACGCCATATCTTTTCATTGCCTGGAATGATTACGTACATAAATGCAAAATACAACAACAGGTGCAGGCAGTTCATCTTTCACTAGCATTAGTATAAATAATTAGGGATATCTGTCGGGAAAACAAGAGCATATCATTTTGCACACATTTTGCACTATATTAAACCGTCCTAAATAATAGTCTAGGCACGCACGCACGCACGCACGCACGCACACACACATACACACACATTCACACACACACACACACACACACACACACACCTTCCCCTGCTACCCATCCCCACCCCCCACCCACCCCCCACCCACCCCCCACCCACACACACCTCAGTCCCTTATCAATAACGTTTTTGTTTGTTCCAGTCGCCGCGCCCTGCATGATGGCGTCTTGTAAATAATCTGAACCAGACAATCCATTGAACGTTATTGTGAGCAACGATCCACGCCATAGGAACATTAAACACGCAATTAACAAGTCACCGAGCCTGCCCACTCAATCCATTTAGTCGGCTCTTTCGACCAGCATAGGTTGCAGAGGACTTGTTCTTGCCTAGAATCCCAACGGGGAACACAGATTTGTCGAGGCTTCCAAGGTCAACTCACCTAGCCAGAACTCTCCATTCAGGTCACCAAACCCTTCCTTGTACTCGTTCCAGGTTCTGTAAAAGTTTACAGATCCGTCCTGTCGTCTTTGGATCACCTGTTACAATGTATGGCAGTTTCGTTATGGAGCCTGATGGTGAATACCACTAAGTTGAAATGTCACAATATATCCCCCATCTTTATTACCACTATCAATTAGCAATATAATATAACTTGTCAATGCAAGAGAACACCCAGTCTTGATTTTCCACCGAAACATTTGGCGTAAAAGGCATCGGAGTTGTGAAAGTCAGTGATGACACCAGGTGCTCGCGAAAGGTGTAAGCACGTTATATGAGTGAGTGAGTTGGGCTTAACGCCGCTTTCAACAGTATTCCAGTAATATCACGGCGTGTCAGCTTAATATTGGAGGAAAGCCCTAAGTGATGCAGGTCTCAGACGTTTACCACTTCGGTGAAACCCACGAGCACGGGTATGGTGCTGACAAACCTAGAAACATAATCGGGGCGAACCGGGATTCAAACCCACAATCATAGGTTTCTGGCGTGCCCAAGGGACGCAACTCTGCACAGCGAATCGCGGCGCCTTAGACGACTGGGCCACCCGTGCCCCCGCACGTTATGTGAAGAACCTATGTCTATTTGGTTTAATTGGCAAAAAAACAAAAAAACTTGCAAACGTTTGTTTACCCTCAAATAGTAACGTTTCTTCGTTAATTTCTCCAAGGCGAGAGGATTATGGAGAGAATTTTTAAACGTTGTTTTGTTTTGTCTCATAAATATATTCAATTTTATCCATGAAAAATAAGTCTAAATCCAAACAAAGCTCTAACAAATCAGCTCAGCTGGATGTGTTGTGTCAACAAAGACAGACACTTAACAAAATCGGTTGTCAGCATATCTAAATATATCTGCACGGACTCAGTCAGATAATGATGATTAAGTGATAAACTATGACAAAATACGAAACACTTAACCACATTTCAACAATGTGTGTTTTAAATCTGCAACAACAAAGCATTTTTACTCCCTTTTTTTACACGTACCCTATTAACTTTATAGACTTATGACAATTTGATCTTATCTTGGAATCGAACCTCTCTTGAGTACCGGGCAATTTTGTTCAATAGATTCTGAGAAGAAAAAGAGAAAACACAAAAATTGTGTCTACCGAAGTTAAATGCTTTTAATGACGCCTTCAAAGGTTCAGGTCTTTACGTTCAGCTTCAACTGTCCAGCAGAGAGTTGACGTTTACAATCCAAAAAATGTTTCGAGAATTTCAAATTATGTTAATATGGCAAAAACACAAGCAATCTTCGACAAAACACAATGGTCAACTGAAGGTTAAAACCTAAAATATCGCAAGTACAAGAAATGAAAACATAATATGTTGTTGAGCTCCACAACCAACTGCACATATATTAAATCTCGTGACATTGAAAAGAACAGATACATGACACTTTCGCCACCTGGATATGTTGTCAACAGTTTAAAATCATTAGACAGACACTGAACTAAGTGTGCTGTCGGCATTGATATTCGAATGATTTATAAATGATTTGAAACCCAATTGATGTCACCACAAGGAGAAACACACATAGCTTCAGAGTATAGCGTCCTCAGTCTGGCACGTTCAGTGGAGATGGCAGCAGAGCAATTATGCGTTTTGAGAGAATTGAAGATCATGACCAAAACATGTTTTTGCAGTTTTAATAGAACATATACCACATTTAATTGTATTTTAAATACAAATGGTTCTGCAATGGTTATCAACAGGTATTCCAACAAAGGAGTGTGCTTGCGACAACAGAAGCAACCCCAGAAATGATTGCATACCACCGTAAACTTGGTGAAATGCATGCAACCAAACAGCTGTATGCATGCATGCATAGAGCAGGTAGCCCAGCATATACCTGACCACTAGCAAACACTATGACGTACCTAAAAGCGTGTCTACAATAATGCCATCACTGCAAGTTTAATGACATCACTTCCGATTTCAGGAAACACATGCAAGATAACTGTAAAGCAGAAAGTCCTTTGCCTCAGCGCCATTAAATAGGAAGTTATACGCACTTCCGGTTAAATGATGTCACACCCCCTTTGGAAATAACTCACATATGAACCTGGAAATACATGTCATATAAAACCGGAAATACATGTCATATGAAAGTGGAAATACATGTCATATGAAACACGACTTCACAGCAGAAAGTACTCGACCAACGTCAATAAAAAAATAATGCACTTCCGCAATATTGAATCGTTTGGTAAAATACATGTCTTCTACAAATACACGCAACACAACCTAACCATAATCTTACGATATCTCTGTTGACAGCAGAGTCCACTGCACTATTCCGACTATGTCACAAGCATGTGTTTGTGATTCACCATCAAAGAGTTATGATACCGGGCGTTGCGAAAAGGGTAAACAGCGCCCTGACCTACATGGAGCATCCGCAACATTTGCATAGAAAAGTTAATGTTTGTTTGTTGCCCGACTTTTCTAGCTATGTTTGGTTGTTTTAGAGATTCGATTTGAAACATATGCTGTTACTCGATACTTTTATTGACCGACTCGCCACAACAAAGAGAAATTATATCATGTCTTTTATCTGATCAATATGTTATTTAAATACGAAATCAGATCGTGAAAAATATTTTCACCTTAAAAAACTCTTTCTTACACACCAATAGGTGTGTGCAATTGTGTTTAAAACGTTTCGAAATGTTTATTAGAACACAAGTATTTTCGTATGACAAAGACGTTCCTTGTCAGTGAATACAACATTGTGACGTAATTTCAATGAAATCAGATGGAAAAAAAGCAACCATCCATTGTACGATTCCGACTTTATCATGATTCATTTTCAGTACGTAAAGTAAAAAACAACTTTGTTGACAGCCCGCAGCATTCCTTGCTTACGCCCGATTAGTGCAAGGACTGTTAGGAGGCGATTACGAGAGCATAACGTCCGATCACGACGTCCAGTTGTACGTCCATTTTTGCTGACACGTCACCGCACTGCAGGTCAGCCAGGGTCAAGACAACGTCTGAGGTCCCGGTCACAGGACTGGGGGTTGGTCCTGGTCAGAGATGAGTCCAGGTTCCATCTTGACAGTAGTGATGGCCGCCAGCTTGTTTATCGCCATCGGATGGAAAGTTGTGCTGACGCGTGTGTTCCACGTCCTGCAATTGGTAGTAGGAGAGAAATGGCGTGGTGAGGCATCACTGCACACCACAAGACCCTTGTAGTGGTCGTCAATGGCAACTCGACAGGTGTACGGTGCCGTGACGAAGTTGTCCCCCCGTTCCTTCAGACCCATGGACGTCACGTCACTTTACTGCAGAAAAACGCACGCCCTCACTTTGCGCGAGTTGTTACAGATTCCTTTTTACAACAGAACATCCCCCCCCCCCCCCCCCCCCCCCTCCTACTTTTAGCCTGAGATAAGTTAACTGAGGACATTGTTATGATGAATTCATGTTTCACGGACATCAAATAATGTTCTGTCGCAAATTGTTCTTTGTCGTGTCTTTATTATTTCCCATGATATTAAGTCAGTGATATATTATATTATATATTCCAGTAGCATAACTATATACAAAGGACTTTAAACATATCTATCGATAAAAAGCATTTTGTGAAAATGGCAAACATACTTTAAGAATTACCTTCACTGTGACCGTAACCTTATACATACTAGGTAACTCATGACTAAGTAATCATTTTCTAGTAGGTCAGTAAATAAACGCTTTGGGGCTATGACTTTGACCCTTGACATGACATATCAATATTGGATATATACTGAACCAAATTTTGACCAGTTATCATTGTGGGCACTTATTGTGTATTTAAACAGTAATGGCCACGTATTATCTTCAGATAACATCCGTTTTTGTGCAGGTGAATCGATCAAAATCATGTGCACAGACGATGGGTTGTAGTCGAGGGACTGTTTATGACTTACAGACGCGTCTACAGCAAACGGGTACCACCGCTGATCGCCCTCGGCCAGGTCGACCACGTGTGACGTCACATGACGAGGATCGTCAGATTGTCTTACGTCACCTGTGTAACCGATTTTTGACGGCTACATCAACCGGAAATGAACTGTTTAGGGGTAGACTGAGTGTGCAAACGGTTCGAAACCGTCTGAGAACTGCTCACCTTCAAGCACGACGGCCATACTGCGGGCCGATTCTGACTCAATTACACAGACGTCAACGTCAATTGTGGGCACAGCGACTCTTACGATTGACTCAGAGGAATTGGAATCAAGTCGTCTTCAGTGATGAATCCCGATTTAATCTTCGATTTGCTGATGGTAGGGCGAGGGTGTGGAGGCGCCGCCATGAACGTTCCGCCCAGTGTTGTGTACAGGAAGTTGACAGATTTCGAGGCGGAAGTGTCATGGTGTGGGGTGCTTTCTGTGGAAATGCACGTTCCAGGCTTTTTGTCATCCGTGGCAACCTCAACGCTGCTGCTTACCGCGACCAGGTACTGGCACCAGAACTCCTGCCTTTTATTGCAGCACATGGACCCGGTTTGATCTTCCAACACGACAATGCCAGACCCCACACAGCAATTTTGACAAGGAATTTCCTTCAGAATGCGGGAGTCAACGTCATGGACTGGCCGTCAAGGTCTCCCGACTTCAATCCCATCGAACACGTCTGGGATGCTCTTGGCAGAAGTCTGCGCACTCTCCAGAACCAACCACAGAATTTGCAAGATCTTGGCACCATTTTGCAGCAACAATGGCGTCGTCCTCCCAATCATGAGTTCACAAGCATCACAAGGTCCATGCGGAGGCGTTGTGTGGCAGTTGTCAACGCACATTGTGGCCATACACGCTACTGAACTTGTGTGCCATCAGATTCTCGTGCTTGGGACTTATGATTTAAACTGTTGATGTTATTACCGAATACCGTAGGTGCTTGGAACAAATTATGGTTACCACCGTTAATTAAAATCCTTCTTTGGACATTAATGATTAAAAATTACCTTTTCTGATACATTTGTCCGTTGGATATCATATATGGGATAACTTTTTAAAATGTGAAGTTTTTAATTTGACTCAGTATATAAAAGATATAATATGTTATGCATGGTATGATATCCCTGATATGTCCAAACACCAAAGTGCGACGGTGAGGGACGGTGCAATATGGTCGTTGCCAAAAGAGTAGGGGCTCTTGTACTACCAATCATGATGCCTTGAACAAACTTAGTACCATGATCAGGTGCCTTCACTGGTGGGAATAAAATGTTACCTACGCATGACACACCGCGGACAAACAGGTGAGCTTTATACATAACTTCATTTTAACGGCTATTGTAAAATGCTTACCGTCCATATTCTTGTTCCAGAATAACAGTAGACTTGGAACTGCTCATGTCCACCAGGAGGGTTGACGACGTAGATGCCAGATTTCAGGGAAGGGGACCGAGTCATAATATCTTCACAGTCACTGTAACCTGTCGACGTGTATTCAAATGTGTAAGAGGGACACAGGCCAAGGCATCAACAAATAGACTGAAAAGATCTGAAAACTTATAAATCTCAAAATGACCGCCTCCGTGGACTCGAGGCTCGATCCCCGGCCGCGTCATGCCAAAAGACATTGATGGTACCCTGTCTGGTGCTCGGCATTATGGGGCTAAAACAAGGACTGGTCGGCTCGGAGTCAGTAGATTGTGTCTAAATAGGGTATTCATGTTAAACTGCGGCATGGTATCTCAGTGGGCTAGCACTATAAATCGGCAAGCACGCACGCACGCACGCACGCACGCACGTGCATGCACGTAACCTTATAGGAGCAATAATCTTAAACGCGACGTTAAACCCATTTTACCTCACCTATTGATCTAAAAATATATTTTCGTTTCCTTAATGTTTTCCCCTTATCCATCTTCCCGAGTCAAAAGAGTGTCCACTAGCCTTTTGATCAAAGTCTTGTTTCCACCCTTGCATAATCAAGCCCGCTTCCCTGTGTTAAATATGATAGTCCAATCAGAGAACGTTTCACAAAATCCACATCCACGACTGATACATCTTCGTATGAAAGTTATTTAGAGCGGCCGGTCTTTGTTGACACAAATATGTTTTTTCATCTTTTAAACCCCAAAACGATTGCCTGTGTGTTTGTTTCGCGAATGTTTTCGTTATCTGATCGAAAAGGTCGTCGCCTATGGTAGTCGCCATCTTTGTGAAGCTATACGAGGTAAGAACAGCGATCTGATTGGATATTGCGTTTTCATTACAAGGGGCACAACTCGTGACCATCGCGAGGTGGCGCCAGGGTCAAGCCAAGAAAAGTTGCCTAGTAAGTGGGCTTTGATATAGGCTAGTGGACACGCTTTCCTCGGGAAGATGCCCCTTATCATAAAGAGCAACGTTCTATTAATTTGTGTAACATCGTGAGAAACAGCATTGAATAGTCAATATGAAGCGACATGGCGTCAAAACTATTTCTTAAAAATATGGTGACCAGAGCGGACTTTTATTGCCGAATCTAAATGAATATATCAGGTATCAGCTTCATTTCTTGGTGTCTTCACTGAGTGTCAGTGATACATTCATGTATTATTACCTTTTACGCCCAATGGAATCTGTTTCGATAGATAATCGACACTGGGAATTCTCTGGCTGGCGTTGCTGTTTTGCCTTTGTCACATTGATTCGGAAACTTCGACACATCCAGTATACAATCAAATGCGATGTTTCAAAGGTGGATTCAATTTATCAACGAAATATGTGTCTACCATGATCTACTAATGATGTCATAAGGTTGTCGTCACTTTTCATACGTACGTATTCAAATATCCACTGCATGCATAAGACTTAAAAGAAATCTGTAGAACGGCATTTAATTGAATATGGCAAACGTAGGCCACTCGCGGCGAGTTAGTCGGTAAACATCCTATTCAGGTTATCACATTCATGACGACCTTGACCCTTGACATGACTGATCAGCGTGTCAAAACCAATTCAGGGCCATAAAGGAATGATTGAGTGGTTTTATGCCGCTTTTAGCAAAATCCAGCAATGTCACAGAGGGGGACCATTCGTCACCACTCGCTCCTTTCCGTAACCTGCAAGAAGACTCGTCCCCCTATCGATGAATGTCATGTGCGAAAATACGACAAACAGATCAGAATGCGCGTATGATTTCTAGTTCTTCGTCAAAGAATCCCTCAGAAATAATTTTTGAATTTACATATGTCTTGCATCTAAAAATATACCAAAGACACAGTTAAATGTGTTCAATCATACTGTATAATTCCGCACGTCCCGATGTGCTTTAAATTGCATATGAAATAATAAATCTGGGGAAAATGTGTGAACGCAACGAGTTGACAATTGTTTTAGGTATGCCCGTTAGCGCTAAGACGGAACCCGGTCGCAAAAATGGCAATGAGAGGGCACTAGTCGCTATTCGGCTTGTCCCGGAATAACACGAGTTGGTCACGAATGAGAGGGGGACTAAACACTAATATATACTAAGATTTGTGCTCACACGAGTGACCCGTGTGTATATATGGGAATCGTCAGATTATCCAAAACGATTTCCTGCATGTGAGCGAGTGAATACATGTTTCTATGATAATGGTCTTTAACAATATTCCAGCAATACAAACGGTTACAGCTGGTCGTTACAATGCGGTAAAAGTTCGCTCGGGACACGTCTGGTTGTCTGTGGAACGTTACCGTCTGTCACACCCGACTCTAGTTCTAAGCCAGCACAAGCTGATTGTAATCCACAAACCTCCGATCTTCACCATCACGTTAGTAATACACATAACTCAACTTACTTGCATTGTTGGCATAAAGACCATCAATGGAGTACTTGAAGCCCGGTTTAGGAACCAGAATGTCGTGGCTGGTGTAAATCTTTGTGTGTCCTTGACATGAACCAGACAAAGCGTTGTAGAAGAAAGAGACACACTTGGAGTCTCTGTAACACCTTTCTGCACAGCCCCGTGTATGAAACTTCTTGTCCTTCCAGAGTGGCTCAATTTCGGCTACCTTGTCCTGAAGATCTTGGATGCGCACATAGGAATGCTGGTGACACATGGGAATAGCATGTCTAGCAAATACGATGAAGAACACAACGTACGGGCAGATGAGCATGTAACCTCGATACACGTCCATCCTTGTCTACTGCCAGACTCACCTCAGGCTCGCTGGAATGATACTCATTTTCTTTAACATGATTAGCTACGCTTCTCTAAGGCTTCAAACGAACCTAATTATTGTCATTGGAATGCGTGGAATATGAGGTATCTATTGTGACAAAACTTTGAAAGAGTAAACAAATATATTATTCATTCATTCCCTTCTTCAGTTTATGCTAATTGCATAATTAGTGGATATCATTATCCGTCATTATCTCAATATTGTTCGCCTGTGACACCATTAATGTTTGTTTTTGTAGTGCGCAACATTGACAATGACATGGTCGATATCAGTGGATTTGATTAGAGGTTATTGGGTATTCTGAGAAAATAGCCGTGCTGTCAGACTGAGGTGTCAAGTGGGACACCTATTGTTCAAAAGTCCTATCATGGCAACATCTTCAACACCTTTTACGCCTTATGCATGGTGGGATAAATATAAGCGTCAAAACTCTTTCTATAGCCACAAGAAATCTCTGCCGAGTCCATTGTACGACTCCGACTGTGTCATGATCATGTGTCGATGAATTACGATCAAACACATGTAGTGGTGAAACCAGAATTTTTGCGTAAAGGTTGGCGATCGTGTGTCACGAACACATGCAAAGGCAAGTTAACTTTTCACCTGAAATACAAAATAGGAACAGATGGTAAAGTTAAGATAGGGAATTGCACCGATAGCATGTTCATCACTGATGCGTCAAATTTGGAAAAAGAACCTTGAATACCCTTATGTCATTTCTGTATGTCATCAGCAAATGTTGTTAAGACGGATAGAAATATCAGCAAACGGCCGAAAGGTATCAGGCAAGTCACTGTAAGTTGAAAATTTCCTTTTTTGCGTCGTGATGAGCCACTGTCAACACGTTGTCATATGACGTCAGAGATAACTTGCACATCAACAAATACCTAAAAAATCTGAAATGTTTAGACCAATCAAAAGGGCCTTGCAGCAACCTTTAACATTTTATTATTAATATATTTAGCATTATTAGCATTGTTATTCATATTAGCCATTATCAATGACATTGAAAATTGCAGGTGTTTCCTAAACATTATGTCTGCTTATTCATATGTTGACAGTTCCAAAGACTTAGATATAGACTCAGAGACCGATCGAAGGTGAACAAGAACTTTGGTCTCGCTGGAAGTCAGGCGCTCTACAAATCAATTATCATTAATAATATTTATTACTTCCCTTTAAAGACCTTCGTGCGTGACCAGGTTCTCAACAAAAGCAAAGAAAATCTTACTTTAGTTGAAGCAGATTCTTATACACTTGTGAAAGCAATTCAACAATTCAATAAGTCATGTACTACATTAAAACGTTCCAGCAATATTAAGCGGCCAAACGGACTGTAGCGAAACTGCCGCACCTCAGAGTTCCAGGTAAGTGTTGGCACTGTGCCATCGGTTCCGCCCTACAAGCCGGCCAGACGACTTGTAAGGTTTTTTTTACAAGACGGCAACTGACCTGTCAGATAGCTTAATTAAATGAGAGCGAGTGTGAGTGAGTATGCTAAGATTCCAGCAACGTCACGGTGGGGGCGCCAGAAATGGGCTTCATACGTTTGTACTCATGTTGGGAATCGAACCCGGGACCTAGATGTTACAAGCGAACACTTTAACCACTAGGCTACCCAACCGCCCCCGATTCCATGACGTGTGATGATAAATAGAATAAGCACACGATGTTGTGTAACAACCTGGAGGATTGTCGGGAACATGGAGCGGGCTCTGTAGCGTTCCTTATCGTTTACTTTAACGTTTACAGGACGTACGTAGTTTTGAAATTATTGTGGTATATTGTGAAATATGATTACAAGAATAATAGCTAATATACATTGCACCAAGTTGCATATTACTTAAATACGCAAACACATTCAAATGTTCATGAACGTGGGACATCAGCCATGATATGAATGATACCATTTTGCGACGATGACAATCACAGTCGGTTAACTCATGAACTGGTTTTCTTCAAACTGATGAGGATGAACTTGCTAATTATTAGTATAGCCCTGGGTGCGAAGTCTGTGCTGCAGGGTGGGTGATTTAACTGTACAGCCCAGACTTAGCCCCCAGTGACTGTTTCCTGTTCATAAAGAGGACATAAAGACTGCCACAGAGGCGTGGTTAGAAACCCAGACTTAGCCCCCAGTGACTGTTTCCTGTTCATTAAGAGGACATAAAGACTGCCACAGAGGCGTGGTTAGAAACCCAGACTTAGCCCCCAGTGACTGTTTCCTGTTCATAAAGAGGACATAAAGACTGCCACAGAGGCGTGGTTAGAAGCCCAGACTTAGCCCCCAGTGACTGTTTCCTGTTCATTAAGAGGACATAAAGACTGCCACAGAGGCGTGGTTAGAAGCCCAGACTTAGCCCCCAGTGACTGTTTCCTGCTCATAAAGAGGACATAAAGGCTGCCACAGAGGCGTGGTTAGTGGGCCAATCTGCGGATGTCTGTACAGGTTGTATTAAAAGCTTGAAGGACAAATGGAATAAGTGTATTGAGGTGAATGGAGATTATGTTGAAAAATAAAAGTGCAAAAGATATTCTGCTACTTGGTCTTGCATAACTTATTGAACGACCCTCGTATCTGGGGTACATTTGTGCATCTGATCAACTGCAATGCTTTATCTGGTATCGACGATCTGAGCGATGCTATTTCAAGTTGTGGTTTCTGGTAAAATTCTACCTTTTCGGTATCGAGGTTCTTCCTTAAATCCCTATAATAACTTTGAATACAATGGTCGTTGAACCTGACTTCAAAATTCTTGAAATTTTCTGCCACATTTCCCGAGAGCTTGAGCTCCGGTCGTTTCGGAAGTCCCGTCATGTGCTTTTCCTACTTAAGCCAACCCGCTTTTGGGCATTCAGAATTCTTATGAGGTTTATCCCACTCCTGACACCAAGTTTCCTGACCACCGGGAAAGGACAACTCACCTCAAGTCGTCTATCAATGTTGACGCCTTTGTTCCACCCAGACGTACACGCGAGTTGCAATGATCTAACTCCGATATCCGGTCTGTCATTCGGAACTGTTCCTGTCATGCAATCGGAATGTATCATAACGTTTAACCGTACCAACAAAACAACCAATCAATGATCTCGTCCAGGAATCCCAAAAGTTCGAAAAGACTTCAGTGCATTGTCCGTGACAGTCAGCGTTAACTGACTAAATTAATATTTGGTCTGAAGTCTGATCTCAAAGTACCTATGCATCGTATGTTCTAGAATTGTGCATCATTATCAGTTTGTAAATATATACATTGCAGAGCAACAAAAAATACGTTTATTTGCACATCCGGCATTTAGAACCCACCAGGGTTTTTTCTCGATTATCTGCCGAAACAGATTCATTGGGCGTAGAAGGCGAAATAGTGACTGACTGAATTTAAGTTCGATTTTCAAAATGGCCGCCAATGGGGCCATATTGAAAATAACCATTTTGCAAATTACTCAGCCACTTCTTTGCGTATCATTATGACATTTTATAAGGCGGTAGTATAGTATAATTTAATATTGATTTTTTTTTTCATGTTTTGATCTTTGACCCAACTACGACCTTTGACCTTTAAGACTAACCATAATCCTGTTTGGCCAGTTTGCTGCACTGGACACGTTTGACGACGCACAATCGTTCGGCATTTGGTAATCACTTAAAACAATAACAACAGTTTAAACAGGTTTATTCTTGGTATATTTGTTACAGAAAGAAAAGATACATGTATTTTGTGTAAAACAACAACAGGTTGAATAGATTGCGAAATGTGTTGTGTTCAACACATAAGTCAAACAAGTAAGACATCAGAGGTGCCCCCTTAGGCTCGTGAACCATTCGCTCATGCCGTGAATGAAAACAAGGTTATCAATAAAATCATTAAATGTTACTTTTGAAAAGAAACTTGATTTACTATGGGCAGGGAAGTAAAAACGACAGATAACTTTATTCATGCCTACTGATAGATAAAACAGATATACTGGCCAAAAACGTATTTAATATTTTATACAATTCGGATATTCCTATTTTTGAAGGAATGACTGACCCGAGGTTGTCACTTGCTTATAATTGCCCATCATAATTATCCTGGGTTCTGAGTCAGCTATAAACCCTTTCCATAATCACAAGAAATCTCTGTTGAGTCCAATGTACGATCCCGAATATATCATGAGCATGTGTTTAAGAAAATGTTTTAGACATAGTGGAGCTGTCATGATAGAGGGACTTAAAGAAACACAAGAAGCTGCCGGTAGTCACGGGGCCAAATACAAAGAGATAGGTAAAATGGCATTGTCACTGGCCAATCCAGCGGGGATGAGGCTAGGATGAAATATTTCGTATGAATAATGAACAGCTTGCATGAACAACTCACACAGCTGTCTTAGCACGGGCTAATAGTCCTTGAAACAATTGATACAATTTATTATATATAATTGTAAAACGCCAACCACAATTGTCCAATGTCATCCGCACCAGTGTATTGTTTTCGTGATCCGGACGGCATTGTTGACGTCTTTCCCACTAACGTCACAATAAGATTCGAATGACGTCAACAATGCCGTCCAGATCACGGAAACAATACACAGGTGCGAGTGAAATGATATTTGCACTCGTGCACATATGATTTTTATTAACTTGGTTATTTCTAACCCTATGGGTAATAATTCATAAAAGTAAATTTGTGCAGCTCAATCGTTCTATTTTATTTGGCATAAAATTGTACGGGTATGGAAAGGTAAAATGCTTAATATGTGCCTGGATTATACACAATATAGTTTTACATCACACTAAACAGAGGTACTTACATTACTGCATAAGAATTTCCCGAGCAATCTGCTTAATCAGGTACTTTGAAATAATGACATCTACTTTGTAGGACACAGGTAACATGAGGTATGACAATATTATATATATTGAAATGGGTTTTTTTGCCGCCAACAGTACAAATACTTTTTATAATATACGTACTCTGCAATAAAAGAAACGTA